TAGTGGTGGTGGTGAGTAGTGGTGGTGGTGAGTAGTGGTGGTGGTGAGTAGTGGTGGTGGTGAGTAGTGGTGGTGGTGAGTAGTGGTGGTGGTGAGTAGTGGTGGTGGTGAGTAGTGGTGGTGGTGAGTAGTGGTGGTGGTGGGTAGTGGTGGTGGTGGGTAGTGGTGGTGGTGAGTAGTGGTGGTGGTGAGTAGTGGTGGTGGTGAGTAGTGGTGGTGGTGAGTAGTGGTGGTGGTGAGTAGTGGTGGTGGTGAGTAGTGGTGGTGGTGAGTAGTGGTGGTGGTGGGTAGTGGTGGTGGTGAGTAGTGGTGGTGGTGAGTAGTGGTGGTGGTGGGTAGTGGTGGTGGGGTGTGAGAGTGAAGAGTGATGAAGAAAGGTGGAACAAGGAGGGGGAGGGGGAGGGGAGGGGGGGAAGGGGGAGATGGAGGGGGGGGAAGGGGGGGAGGTGGATAGTGGCATGAGGAGCCAATAGGTCGTGATGAGGGGGGGCGGGAATAATGAGTTACGGTGAGGATAGTGAGGAGTTAAGAGGGAGCGACTGGTGGATAGTGAGGATGGTGACGGTGAGTAATGAGTGAGGTGACATGAAACAATTAACATGGGAAGAGCGAGGGAGGTTGTGGAACAGGGTGGAGGTTGTGGAACAGGGTGGAGGCTGTGGAACAGGGTGGAGGCTGTGAAACAGGGTGGAGGCTGTGAAACAGGGTGGAGGCTGTGGAACAGGGTGGAGGCTGTGGAACAGGGTGGAGGCTGTGGAACAGGGTGGAGGCTGTGGAACAGGGTGGAGGCTGTGGAACAGGGTGGAGGCTGTGGAACAGGGTGGAGGCTGTGGAACAGGGTGGAGGCTGTGGAACAGGGTGGAGGCTGTGGAACAGGGTGGAGGCTGTGGAACAGGGTGGAGGCTGTGGAACAGGGTGGAGGCTGTGGAACAGGGTGGAGGCTGTGGAACAGGGTGGAGGCTGTGGAACAGGGTGGAGGCTGTGGAACAGGGTGGAGGCTGTGGAACAGGGTGGAGGCTGTGGAACAGGGTGGAGGCTGTGGAACAGGGTGGAGGCTGTGGAACAGGGTGGAGGCTGTGGAACAGGGTGGAGGCTGTGGAACAGGGTGGAGGCTGTGGAACAGGGTGGAGGCTGTGGAACAGGGTGGAGGCTGTGGAACAGGGTGGAGGCTGTGGAACAGGGTGGAGGCTGTGGAACAGGGTGGAGGCTGTGGAACAGGGTGGAGGCTGTGGAACAGGGTGGAGGCTGTGGAACAGGGTGGAGGCTGTGGAACAGGTGGAGGCTGTGGAACAGGTGGAGGCTGTGGAACAGGGTGGAGGCTGTGGAACAGGGTGGAGGTTGTGGAACAGGGTGGAGGTTGTGGAACAGGGTGGAGGTTGTGGAACAGGGTGGAGGCTGTGGAACAGGGTGGAGGCTGTGGAACAGGGTGGAGGCTGTGGAACAGGGTGGAGGCTGTGGAACAGGGTGGAGGCTGTGGAACAGGTGGAGGCTGAGAAGAGTGGCGTGAGAGCTGACAAACCCACTCCTTTCTATACCACGTACGTGAGACTAGTGCTCAAGGATGCAGCACCAGCGCGAATCACTCTCCTCACGAACCAGAAATAAAAACTTTTAAAACATAAGTTTTACCATAAGATTAATCGCAGAACTTAGTTTGAGGAGACAATTAAATCTCACAATACCTTAAAAACCCCAGATGAGACATGATTGAGACATACGAGATACCGAACAAACTATGCAGAATGAGAAGTCAAATAACAAAAGGACATAGAAATGAGAAGGAATACAATTATAGCTTCAGCAATAAAGCCGATGCCAAATTTATACACATCCTTAATACAATATAAATGAAAATGCTTTCACATAGTCAAAAAAAAAGCAAGTTCACATTCAGTATTTGTTGCATAAATGAATTAAAACATGTATAATTGTAAAGGCTGTCAGCGATGGAAAAATAACACCTGCCCAAACTAATTGCAAATTTTCTATAAAAAAATTGAGGCTCTTGTATTTTTAACCGGAACATTTTTCGAGAATAAATGCATCAATTGTAATACTGCGTTGCTCTTATTCTTGATAGCAATTGCAGGTTGCATGAAGGATTCGATCCTTGATGACTAGAACAGATGTTGAGATTGAAGGGACGACGACGTTTCGGTCCGTCCTGGACCGTCCCCTACACCTGACTTTCCTCATCAGCTCTCTCTTGCCTATTTATTGCCTGTCCCTACCTCCTCATCACAATCGACTTGAGAATGATCCAGGACGGACCGAAACGTCGTCGTCCCTTCAATTTCTAGTGTGTGGTCTGGTCAACATACTTCAGCCACGTTATTGTGACTCATCGCCTGCAGATGTTAAGAGTTTCAGAAGTGCTTGATGCGTTGAGCCGTAGAGACCAGGGGCCAGATTCATGAAAGCACTTACGCAAGCACTTACGAACATGTACATCTTTCCTCAATCTTTGACGGCTTTGGTTACATTTATTAAACAGTTTACAAGCATGAAAACTTGCCAATCAACTGTTGTTATTGTTATAAACAGCCTCCTGGTGCTTCGGAGCTCATTAACTGTTTAATAATTGTAAACAAAGCCGCCAAAGATTGAGAAAAAATGTACAGGTTCGTAAGTGCTTTCGTGAATCTGGCCCCAGTGCGGCGAAGAGAACAGGGGCGCATGCACGGGAGACATCTCCCGTCACGCAGGGTGCAGTCCACAGATCTCCAGTATCATCTATTGATACTGGTAATGGCTCAAAAGAGCCACCACTTACGGGCTATTCATCCCCGTGCCACCTTTGGGTGGCTTAATCTTCATCAATCAATCAATCAGTGGCGCATGTAAACCCAAATCGAAACTCTCTCTATTTTCCGCTTGTTACAACTTGTAATAATAAAGTTGTTACATCTTGGCTTAACGTGTTTATGACGTATTAGAACGTTGTTACAACTTGCTATATTGGTTGTTATAACTGGTTAGGAAGTGTTAAAACTTGTTCGAACGTTGTAGCAACGTCGTAGTTTCGGTGTGTGTTTGCCGGGGTTCTATGTTAGAGGGAGATCTGCCGCACCGGAGGGCGGTGGTGATCTAGATCAAGGTCTAGACCCGTGCTTAGGAATCTGTACACCAGTTGATTGACAGTTGAGAGGCGGGACCAAAGAGCCAAAGCTCAACCCCCGCAAGCACAATTAGTTGAGTACAATTAGGTGAGTACCATCAGGGTCTAAGGCGTCGCAAGTTGATCTACAAAGTCAGCATGGAATATACGACAATGTCCTGGTGCCCAGGGCATAGAGGATACACAACACTGAACATAAACAAAGTCAAGGCGCAGAACCATAGGCCTGACGGACCCCCAGCAGGCAACAAACCGGAGACGAACCCCCGGGACATTCTCAATCGACTTGAGGTCCAGGACGGACCGAAACGTCGTCGTCGTCCCTTCACCTTCTAGTGTGTGGTCTGGTCAACCTATTTCAGCCACGTTATTGTGACTCGTCGCCGGCAAACGGGACACGAAAACAAGCAACACACCTGCTCATTCTCCTCCGGAAAGTCCGCCGCCGGAAAGTCCGACTCCGGAAAGTCCGCCGCCGGAAACCGGAGACAATTCGCCTCCCAAAGACACTCCGTATCAGGACTGACAGGCGCTCGAGGACGCGCCACGAAGCCTCGAACCCCCGGACATAAAAACACGCACACGAGGTACCCAAATCATAGACCAGCACAGACATTTTGGGATGGGCCGGGGGGGGGGGGAGGAGGGCAAGATGAATGGTGCCCAACCACTTGTAAACGGTCGGGGATTGAGCGCCGACCTGCATGAAGCGAGACCGTCGCTCTACCGTCCAACCCAAGTGATTGGGGTCGCCATAGAGGTCAACCTCTGCCAGCCACGTCCGCAGCGCCGTACCACAGGAGGAGGCACTGTCTTCCTCTGTGGCCGTCTGTTATTGTCTTAGAACCTTCTGGAAGAAACGTCGTGTTGGTTCTTAGAGGTTTCGGGATAATTTTGAAGCTTGTCGATAATTCAAGACGATTATGGATGATTCTAGAAGTGTGCGAATAATTCTAGAAAACTTCTAAATGATTGTGGATAATTCAAGATGCCTCTGGAGGATTCTAAAAGGTTATGGACCATTCTAGAAACTTCTGCTTGATTCTTGAGGTTTTGGGAAGATTCTAGAAGGTTCTAGAAGTCGTCTCGATGACCAAAGGCTAATATAAAAGACTTCACACCTAAGTAATCCCGTCGCTGATGGGCGGATGTTTACCAAGTGCCTAAACGGTTACCCCAAGTGCCTAAACGGTTACCCCAAGTGCCTAAACGGTTACCCCAAGTGCCTAAACGGTTACCCCAAGTGCCTAAACGGTTACCCCAAGTGCCTAAACGGTTACCCCAAGTGCCTAAACGGTTACCCCAAGTGCCTAAACGGTTACCCCAAGTGCCTAAACGGTTACCCCAAGTGCCTAAAATTTATATTTTGAGCAGCAGTTTATTACCCCCCCCCCCACCGCCCCCCCACCCATACTCGTCCTGCGAGTGGAAGGTATTGGGCAACACAAACCTACACCCCGAAACACTGTATATAAACGGGAGCAGCTTAGATTCCGGAAACACCTGGGTAAATACAGGTCTGGAAAGAGGGGTTGTTGATACGATGAATTAATTCACGGCTAACACAATAGACGCGGGACCACTTGATTGTTTCAAGCGTAGGGCAGACGTATTTGAATGAGTTTGGGTGGATATAACTAGGAGCTGCGTCATATAAAGGTCTAGACCCCACCATGAAGGTCTAGACCCCACCATGAAGGTCTAGACCCCACCATCATGATCTAGACCCCCACCATCAAGATCTAGACCCCACCATGAAGATCTAGACCCCACCATTAAGGTCTAGACCCCACCATGAAGGTCTAGACCCCACCATCAAGGTCTAGACCCCACCATGAAGATCTAGACCCCACCATTAAGGTCTAGACCCCACCATTAAGGT